AACGATAATTGTAAGGTGTACGGCCACCTTTACACAGACTGGCTCCTGAATTCCACATTCATTTGTTCACCCTATACACACCAAATTGCGAATACATCCAGATTCCTTTCTAGCAAGGATGGTGCTCAGGACAAAATAAATGCACCAACTTCATCAACGATGTCCGTATTCTTTGTAATTCTCAAAGCTCTCTATCAAATTCTAATTGATAACATGATTTCATGTCACTGAACAGTCCACAGCGATCTGCCACCTGCAGTTTTGACCATTTGCTGGTTCCAGCCCCAAAATTATCAATTGATTGGCAGTGCAATGGTTTTAACCAATTCCCAACATAATTTTGATCATTAACTTGCTTTAAACTGGGTAAGAATTTAAACAGTAGGTGGTAGCTTTCTAAACGAATATAACGTATAGCGGTGTAGCCAAACTCCGACCCTCCAGCTGTTTTGGAACTACAAGTCTCAAGAAGGATTGCAAGATTCTGACAGCCACAGGCGTGACTTCCAAAGGCAGATGCATTATAGGATATGTAGTGTCGCCAAAGCTGGAGGGACGAATTTTGCCTACCCCTGACGTATGGCATGTATCAATACATTCACTGAGGGGAGCAGTTATGCATGGCAACCAATCAGCTTCTAGCTTTCATTTTCCAAGCTTAACTGAACAAAATAGAAGCTGATTGGGTACTATGCACAGCTGCTTCAGATTCTGCAAGTTCCAGTTTTAGTAGATTTCCAGCCCCCCGTGCCATTATAATTAAAGGTTAGCTGAAGTTCCCCCTTCATTTATCACATCTTTACTGATCCACATACACTTTGTAGCAGTTGATTCTTGCAGTGGACTGGAAGGGAGGACTGGGAGAGTACATGCCCCTTGTAAAAATGTCTCTGGTTTGTGTACATTCTTCTGTACAGAAAAATGCCTAAACTGTAAAAGTGTAGATCTGGCCATGTGCTGCTCTGCGGGGCCCATATCCACAGAGCAGGCCTAGGCCACACCTGGTGTTTTGCCAGCATGAGTCACTACCTAATAAATCTGTTCCTCATTGCAGCACTGCTCCAATACATCTGCTTGAAAGGAAAGCTTGTTATGAGCTGGCTAACCTGCACACAGATAAAACACACACAAACCCTTTCCGTCAAGTGACAGAATACAATTAGTATAAACTATGACAGGCATGGGGTTGGAGCAGCAGATACTAGGAGTCGTTTTTCTCCATCCAACCTCCTCCTTTGTATCATGACCTTGTTATTTATGCTGGTCAGAGACATCGGAGAGGAATCTCTCAAACCTCTGACCACTAAATGTTTTTTTCCTAAACATATGTATACACATACTGTACCTGTATGAATATTCATGTATGTGTACACAGCAGACACCTCCTGCACTTTTCTTATCTTAGAGGAACAATAGCCTTTTAGAAAAAAATTACCCAACCCAGCCATTATACTTTTAATCCTTGCTCGAGAGCTCGGATACACTTTAAGCCAGCCATATGTGCTACAATTTGCCCAATTTCTGAACAATCTCCCTTTAGAGTTACTAAAACTATGTAATGTCAGGGTCTTCCTATGGGCTCCGACAGACAAGGGATACCAACACTAGTTGCAGTGCAGCAAAACACATGGTGAGGCATTACCATGCATTTTAGTGCACTGTTACAAACAATTGTGCATGTGCCTTTTTGGCATGTTAGGCCGCCAATACAAATGAATGGGCTGCCCTAACACAAGGCATGTTAACGAATGGCGTAATGCATATTGATCAAGACTTGTTGACTCTGGCTGGACTATCCAAATCTTGCTAGAAAAGTGAGATTCTGTAGAGTTCAGGCCAGTGAGGGAGCAACTCTATAATGTAAATGGTGGCCTCACTATGGTGATTCTGTGGCTGGTAAAGTGCCTCTAGTGGCAGACTTACCAATCTGACTTTGCCCTAAACAATCCATCCAGTATGTATTTATTCAGACAGGCCCCCCCCTACTACATGTCTGTTCTCTTCACAGTGCAAAACTCAATAGGATCCTTTTTCTTGCTCTGAGTTATCTCTTTAGAGCGAACAATAATGGGACAAAGATGTTACCGCTCTGAGCCCACATGTGCATCTCCCCCACCAATGGAGTTCTGGGTTCTGATCAACGAACTCAGCCATGCTCAGTCACCTTAGCAAAGAAACAGGAAGCTGCACAGTGATGACCCAATCGCAAAGATCTCTGCAATCAAAACCTTGTTGGGTGAAACAGAGAACCGCTCCCAGGTGGACCTGCAGTGTGGCATGTCCGAATCCAATAAAGCCATTTAGTATCTGATGTAATCAGTGTGCAGCTTCCTCTCTATTTGCCAGTGTGCAAACCAACCACTGAAAACATTTCTGAGTTCAGCTAAGAAAACTCTGCATGTGTATTAAGGTGGCCGTACGCCTTACAACCATCGAACGACTTTCGTTGTGAGATTGTTGTAAGGTAATTAAAATCTCGTACCATCAGCACATCTTGGACAGGCAGATCTTACTTGCGATCATTGATTACGATTCTCAGCAGGTTTTCGCGCGTGCTCGATATACAAAAGATGTGCGACCGTACAGTAAGAAACGGTCGCATGCCTTCCATAACACCTGCCGATTATAGTACAATCGCGGTGTCACCCACGATTATCGTACGATAATCGTCAGGTGTATAGGCACCTTTATAGTGCGCATCTCTATGTGCGAGCATGTGTATTACATGCATTTTTTGCATGCGGCCAATAATTTACTAAGGGGCCACAGCGCATGGCCACATATCAAAAAATACAAGACTCTTTTTCACCATTGCACTTCGACACATATACTTATGAGATATCTGGGTGATAGGAAAAAAGGGTTTTGTTTTTTTCGATGCGTTGATGGCCCAAAGGAAATGAAAGTGTACATGCAAAATCACGTGTACACTAATGCGTTGGCACATAAAGAAACAAAGTACAGCATGCACGCATAGGTATAAATGCACCCGCAGTGTTTTGGGAGGTCAAAATAAAGACAAAAAAGCAGCAAACAAGCTTATTAAGATTGTAGGCCCTCCTTACCATCTTGTCTTGAATTGTATTGTGATTGTAATGTCTTCCTATATTATATTCCTATAATATATATATTTTAAAGCGCTGCGCAAACTGTTGGCGCTATATAAATCCTGTATAATAATAATAATAAAATAATCACATAAGATAAGCAGGAAAGAAGTTCTGTTCATCATGGAAGCTGTTTCAAATGGCTATTTAGACAAACCAAGAGAAATTAGCATCTCATTTGAAAACATTCAACCTTCATCTAAGGTTTATGACCAGCTTTTGGGGTTCATGTCAACAGGCGTCCTAGTCAAACACTGCAGCCATGTACAAATAGATAATACAATGTTTGACAAGAAAAAGCTGCTTGTGGCTGGTTTTCCTGCAGTTCAAACGTACATTGATGGGACATGGTGTGTCCAAAAAAATGCAGCACAAGTCAAAGGAAGTCAAATCCAGCCTCTGAACTACCATGTGTGCTGCTCAATTAAAGTGAATGGGATTTGTTAGCCTGCACGTAGACAAAAGTCATATCACACAAAACAAAAACTTTCAAAGTTGATATTCAGGTTATGTACCTATTTAAAATAATCATCTGGTCAGCAGAACTCATGACTATGAGAGGAAGGGCCACAGCTTAAACCTTTCAGGTCTCTGTTGCACGCAGTGCTGTTGGTCTAACACCATGAACATGCTTACAGAAGGAAAGAGCACAGAGATGAACTCACTGGCCTACTGCTGCTCCCTCACTGTCCAATCAGCAGGCTGAGGGTGGGTTCTGAACCCTGCTGTCCTGCACCACACTGGCTAAGCAGAATTACAAATGAACTTACAGGAAAATAAATGCATACTAGTATTTCAGCAGTGTTTGTAGCTGTTTGTATGGATGTCAGCATTAAGCATACAGAAGGCTATAGGTGGGAAACTGTCTCACTTAGAATGGATGGTGATACAGTTGCCCAATATCAAATGTATCATGCACCACCAGGGCCTTACATCACTCTTCTTTCCGAGTCGGCCGACAGATAAGTATAGCACATGCACAGTAACACTTCATTCCTTTTGCTCTACAACAAGGAAAGTGATGCTAGAATCAGACATAGTTACATAGTTAGTCAGGTTGAAAAAAGACACAAGTCCATCGAGTTCAACCCAAATTATTTGCTTGTCCCATGCTTTTATCAGTTATCTATACTAATATTTCTCAACTTTATTATGCAGTACTTTATAAACGCCAATGCATGCCAACTGTCCCCAGTATGGGTCATCTTATCTAAGTACCACTTGGTAAACTGATGTTTATAACCAGTATTTATATCTATGTGCAAATGTTTTTTTTAGCAATTGTTCTCTTTTAATAACCAGGTCTATTTTATATTTATTATTTCTTTAGACTTTACACTGGTATAATATATCATGTAAGAAGCAGAGATATCCCCTAAAGGTACCAAAAGTACTAGCTGGGGTACAATGGCACTGGTTGAGAACCTGTGATTTATACCACTCAACACTGAGGAAAGGGATGTAAGTGCTTGGTATCTCTGGGGCTGAATCCCTCCTGGGAAACTGTATGCATTACGGTATATACTGTATGTTCCACCATTGTTCCCATGTATTTCCTCTGGATGTTTCCCACACTCCAATAAGCTGCCTCCCAAACTGGCCTTATATATGTGTATGAGCAATGGAGGCTGATGGGAATGGTTATACGTACCTTTTAAAGCACTGCATATGTCGGCACTATGTAAATATGGGAAATAAAGTAACCAATTCAACTAAAAAAAATAATGACATCTGGAAGCACCCAAGAATAAAGAGGCACGACACAAACACGTAACTGACACTTGTGTTATATTCTATGTACCAGAGTGTATAAATAATGTGACATAACACAGGTAGATCGGAGAAACAGATAAAAGCTGAGTAAACAGTAAACCATCAGAAAAAAATCCAATACACTGATAAACAGCTTTAATAACCAATTCAGCTGCCAGAGACAGAAAGGTCACCTTTCTACAGCAGCAGGACTCAGCCCTATACTGGAATGTCCCAACTTCCAACAAGAACACAGGGGAAGTTGGGCAAGGAACATACTTTAAGAAACTTTCTCTCAAAAGTCATAAAATGTTCTTGTACCGTACATTTAGTTAAATATAGACATTTGTTATTTATACATAAAATCACTTGAATAAAACTAGAAATTATTTAGTTCCACTAAAAATTCATTTAGATATTGTGTATTTGAAGGCTGTTCAATTCCTCCATCTCTATACTTTACACGGCGTTCGTTATCTCCGGAGGTTCCAGAGCCAATAAAGTGTGAGGAGCAAAAATGGGGCACGTAAATATGTATACACACATATATATATATATATATATATATTTATATATCTAATGCAAGACTGGCACTGTTACATATTCGCGCTGGTCCTATCTGAACACAGATAGCTTCGCTACAGTCCTCTTCGTGTAATCCACTTACAGCATCACCTAAAACTGCCTGCGTCGGATCCAGCAGCCTCCTGGCAATTTAAAGGATTCTTCCTGGGTTGAATGAGTCATTGTGTCATCCAGCTGCTTTGTGTTTACCTCCACAGCAGCCGCACACCTCCCCACAGTGGTGACAGGCTCTCAGAGGGAGGTAGCAGCACATACACGGGGCAATGAAGGATAACGTGACTAAAGCCAGCCAACGTAGGCATAAGTTTTCATCGGAGGTGTCACAGGAGCAAGGGTCGGAGAAGTCTCCTTCAGAATCAGACATGCAGTGGTAGAGCATGCTCTCGGCACAAAGCATACAGCTAACCTGGTAAATGCATCGCCTGATGGGATCCGGAGCGTCCTGACACTTCCCTCGCCCATTCTCCTCATGGTTAAAACGCTCCTGACAGTATATGCACCTTGAGCGCTCCCCGTCCTCTTTCCTCCTCTTTTTAAGAGAGGACATAGGTTGAGTCTTAAACACTCCAGATGGTTTTTGCTCTTTGAGAGAGTCTCTGCCATTTGCTGTGGAATAAAGATAGTTGCTTTTTTTACTGTCTGCCTTGTTGAAGGGGGCACTTATATCGGGCTCTTCCCGCTCTGCATCATTCCTCCATATGTCAGGATGCCGATAGTCTGCGTAGCGCCGTATGATGATATCACGTGGGTTTATACGCACAATTTCATCCTCGTCCTGGAAGCTGACATGTCGGAGGGGCTTTAGAGGGACCTGCAGAGGATAAAAATAAGATCAGTTACAGTAAAGAACTAAAGAGCCTAGCCACAGTAGACAGGTATCTCCATCAAGCAGGTATACACACTACAATCCAGTTGTACATTATCCATTAGAGTTAAACAATGTCACCGGGACAGAAAGTGAGGGAGAATTTATGTTGTCACCAGAACCAAAAGAGGGAATCTTCCAATGGGGGACACAGTGGCTCTGGTGACAACTGTCTAAGAAGGGCTTTCCTTTAGAGATTTTCTCCTGTTGTATGTACAGGAAAGGAATTGAAGAAAAATCCCCTCCAACAGAATACAGACAGGAAAAAAACAGGCAGGGGTTTTAACCATTCCCCACTCTATACAAAATTGGAAAAAACATTTTTGGCTTTAGATATACTTTCACTGTTCTACACAGAAGGATTAAGAATCAGGACCCCACAAGTTAAGTGTTTACAAGAAGTCAGGAAATACCCATGTGTAATAAAAAGGGCCTCAAACTGTCTGGGATGTTCAATAAAACCCTCTTGCAGAGCAGAAATGGCCCAAAAACATGAGTGATGCTCTAAAGTGACAACACTACCTCACTACCTTCTATTTAACAGCCCATGTCCCACTAGAATGACACAGTAACTTAGACTAGACATGTAGACATGTACAAGGATACCAAGTAACGAAACAACTGACCAATCCATTTATAAAACAACAGATAAACTAGCAACTGTGCTAGACAAGGCTCTGTGATGACAGTAAACCAGATTCTCGAGCCGCTGTTTCAATAGTCTCCCAGCCAGGCTCTCTTACTTCCACACATAAATACGCAATCTCCATTCATTCCTTTGGAAATGCCAACAAAGTCTCAACAGTAGATGGCCTTTACATATGAATGAATGGAGACTGCAGTGCATATGCAATGAAGGTGACCCAGTGGCAACTTCCAGCAAGCCACACAGAGCAGATCTTGGAGGAGCGGAAAAAGATAAGTGTAAGACTTGGGAAGGGTGCACTTTAAAACCATAACAGGGTACAGGTGCTGAATTAAATCTGTTCCTTACCGGAGTTTAACACGCATCTGCAAATTACATGTGTATCTGTAAAGCAAAGAGTAAGCAACACTACCTAAAGCCAATTAATAAAAAAGTATCTTTAAATGATATCAATAGATCTTTCCTATAAGCTACTTTATATTTCAGGGTCTGAGGCCTTCAAAGTATTTATCTTGGCTTATATTACCTCTGATTTAGAACGTGTAAGCACTGCTCTTGAGACAGCGTCTGGAATGCCCACCCTGCTTCTGCTTTATATTAAGGTGCTGTGCACTAACCAATGGATTTACAATGTGGGGATTTTCTGGGTAAGTCACTTTCCCAAAATCAACTGGTATATTCTATTAAACTTTGCAAACTCCATAAGAAACCAATAACAGTCTTGTAACTGATCAGGCTTTGATAACCCAAAATCTTGTTGTGATTGGATTACTGCATTTTATAAAACATCATTGCAATTTGCAGTGCTTTATTGAATAAGTCTGTATTTATAAATGTAATGCGCAAACCATACAGATATGCACTATGTTACCAAAAGTATTGGGACGCCGGCCTTTACACGCACATGAACTTTAATGGCATCCCAGTCTTAGTCCGTAGGGTTCAATATTGAGTTGGCCCAACCTTTGCAGCTATAACAGCTTCAACTCTTCTGGGAAGGCTGTTCCCAAGGTTTAGGAGTGTGCCTATGGGAATGTTTGACCATTCTTCCAGAAGCGCATTTGTGAGGTCAGGTACTGATGTTGGACGAGAAGGTCTGGCTCGCAGTCTCCACTCTAACACATCCGAAAGGTGTTCTATCGGGTTGAGATCAGGACTTTGTGCAGGCCAGTCAAGTTCCTCCACCCCAAACTTGCTCATCCATGTCTTTATGGACCTTGCTTTGTGCACTGGTGCGCAGTCAAGTTGGAACAGGAAGGGGCCATCCCCAAACTGTTACCACAAAAGTTGGGAGCATGAAATTGTCCAAAATGTCTTGGTATGCTGATGCCTTAAGAGTTCCCTTCACTGGGACTAAGGGGCCAAGCCCAACCCCTGAAAAATAACCCCACACCATAATCCCCCCTCCACCAAACTTTACAATTGGCACAATGCAGTCAGGCAAGTACCGCTCTCCTGGCAACCGCCAAACTCAGACACGTCCATCGGATTGCCAGGCAGAGAAGCGTGATTCGTCACTCCAGAGAACACATCTCCACTTCTCTAGAGTTTAGTGGCGGCGTGCTTTACACCACTGCATCCGGCGCTTTGCATTGCACTTGGTGATGTAAGGCTTGGATGCAGCTGCTTGGCCATGGAAACCCATTCCATGAAGCTCTTTATACACTGTTGTTGTGCCAATCTGAAGGCCACATGAAGTTTGAAGTTCTGTAGATATTGACTCTGCAGACAGTTGGCAACTTCTGTGCACTGTGCGTTTCAGCATGTGCTGACCCCACTCTGTCATTTTACGTGGCCTACCTCTTTGTGGCTGAGTTGCTGTTGTTCCCAGTTGCTTCCACTTTGTTATAATACCACTAACAGTTGACCGTGGCATACTTAGCGGAAAGGAAATTTCACGGAACACCTGAATCCAATGATTTGGAGGGGTGTCCCAATACTTTTGGTAACATAGTGTATATGCACCTTTAGTTGGCCGTTGGGCTGTCTATGACTAGTGATGGGCTCGGGCGTGTTCGCAAGCGCCCCGTGCCGAGCCCGCCAGGAAGTCGTCAGCGCGCAGGGCCAATCACAGGCACTGAGACATGTTCCCGGTCCGCAGCTGCAGAGATCGGGAAATGTCTCAGTGCCTGTGATTGG